GACGGCACCTGTAGTAATCTTGGGGCTCTGAGTACTATCTACAGTGCCCGGGACCCCAAACAGTACCTATAACTATCATAACTATGGCATGGAGTCCAACCTTGTCTTATTCTTGTTTATTTTATTATTCTTGTTTATCTCCTTATTATTGTTTATCTCCTCATTCTTGTTTACAGTCTCCTCCCTGGGACACTCAACATAGCAGGCACTCAAGGGGGGGAGGGGAAGGGGAGGGGGTTCGAACGTGTGTACTCCTGCGGCGGCAAACGTGAGTGAATTACACATGCTGGTCAGTGAGCCCCTCAAGGGAGTTAGGAGCCAAAGTACCCGAAGTGTGGCGAATTCATATGCATGGGGTGGTGTGGTGGACGGTGTTACTATGTGTGTGGTAGCAGTAGTAGTAGTAGTAGCAGTAACCTCTGGTGGGATGGGACCAAGTGCAAGATGCGTCTACGCCAGACTCGTGGAGGTGCTATCCGAACAGAAGCAGCAGCCCAGAAGTTATGTTACAGCCTTAGGTCTGCTTTGCTCTGCCTCAGGGGAACGAAAGCATCGGCCCCAAAGCCGACAACAGTTGCAGATATTGACTATGAGGCAACAGTCACTGAATGCCTCATAGATCTGCGGCTCAACTAACTCAACACAGCTAGGGTAGCTACTTATGTATTAGGATATTTAATTTTAGGGTCATAAAATGGCGGCGAAGGTGTGGCTATTGGGGGAGGCTGGAGGCCACGTTTAAAAATAAGTAGTAGTAGTAGTAGTAGTAGTAGTAGTAGTAGATTCCTTGTCATATTTTGGGTCCGGACTGATATGCACAACCATTCCACCCATAAACATAATGAACAATAACTCAAACCTTCCCAAACAAGTACACTAATGAATATCTGAACACACCTGAACATGTCTACCTGTGATACACACCTCCAGTGCTCAGGTTCCGTCACTGTTCTCCGGGTACTGAACAAAACAAGGACCTTACCTGTGCCAACCACGAAGCTCTGGCCTCAACAGTGACGGTGATAAGGACATGTTATAATTACTTACCTGTCTACTGTAGGCCAGATGGTTAGGTAGTTTTGATCTCGCGTTACTCACCTGTAATCGTCGACCATCTCTTAGACACCAGAGCCAGGTGGTACAAACCCAGACAACCAGGTGGTAAAGGTTAATAGCTGACTCACCTGCCTCCTCCTCGGCCATCTGCCTGGCGATCTCCGAGGCGAGGCGGGTCACCATGCCCAGGTTCAGAGTTTGCACTTCAGTCACCGGTCGACCACTCTCCCGGATCAACCACGTCCTCACTCTCTCCCCTGATGACCCGCTGCTTGGTACCTGCCAGGGGAGAAGGGGAGGCTTTTAGAGGCTTTGGGAGAAGAACATGAAAGGTGGGGGAGGAAGGTGAGAGGTGGGGAGGAAGGTGAGAGGTGGGGAGGAAGGTGAGAGGTGGGGAGGAATGTGAGAGGTGGGGAGGAAGGTGAGAGATGAGGGGTGTAGGTGAAAGGTGAGGTGAGGAGGTATGTGAGAGGTGAGGGGGAAGGTGAGAGATGAGGGGGAAGGTGAAAGGTGAGGGGAAATGTGAGAGGTTAGGGGGAAGGTGAAAGTTGAGGTGAGGGGATATGTGAGAGGTAAGGGGGTTAGGTGAAAGGTGAGGATGAAAATGAGAAAGAAGGCAATGACTGTAATATATGTTATTCTCTCTCCTCTCCACCTTAACGAGAGGAGCAGCTCACGGCCCTGACATGTAATACCACAATAAACAAGACAGATGATGATCCTGTCGGCCACAGTCATGGTGATGGTGGTCGCCTCCAGGACCTCTCTCTCTCTCTTGATTCTCTCTCTCTTGTTTCACTCTCTCTATCGTGATTCTCTCTCTTTCTATCATCCTTATATCTTCACCCCATCCCCTCCTCTCTCTCTCTCTCTCTCTCTAATCCTCACCTCATTCCCCTCGTCCTCCCCTTCCTCCTCCTCGGCGGGGAAGTAAGCCAGCTCGTCCTGCGTGGCGCTCCCCTCCAGGTGGGTCCTCTGGGTTCGTGAACGTGTGGCGGGGAGGGAGGCGTCTTCTCTGCCCGGGTGGTTCTGTGTTCCTCCTCGCCTCTCCATAGCCTGAGCTGAGCAGGTCTTGTTGGCCATCTTGTCCAGCCTAAGAGAGAGAGTGGATGAACAAGACGAAGGTTGATGAGGGGACAGGAGGAAATAGTGGATGTTATATTGGTCATGCTCTCTCTCTCTCTCTCTCTCTCTCTCTCTCTCTCTCCATTCAGTTCTGGTGGGGGAGGGATGAAGAGAGATAGAAACTTCAAAAGGGAGGAAATGATAAGAGAGATTTGGGCAGTAAAAGTGTAGATAAGGATATGAAAGGGCTAAGGCAACATGTGAAGAAAACACACACACACACACACACACATACACACACACACACACACACACACACACACTCCTATAACTTCAATGTTAAACAGTCTGTATTTGTAGTTAATCCTATCCTCATTATGTAAATACATTATACGTGTAAATAATTCCTTTAAATAATTAACTAACTCAGCTGAACAAAGTCATTCTACAGCACCAATAATCATCTCAAACACCAGAAAATTCGGTAAAAGAAACAACGTAATGTTTATTCCTGGGAGAACCAGTGACAACGTGGGTGTTCGTCCTGGGAGTAAAACAGTACACGGTTGGTAAAGTTGGTCTTCATCCTGGGAATAAAATACTGGCTGGTATAGCGGATGTTCGTCCTGGAAATAAACTGCGCTGGAGCGGTTCTTCGTCCTGGGAGCAAAACAATGGCTCGTGACTCGGGTCTTCGTCCTGGGAATAAAAACACAACACGTCTCCCTGGCCGCCAGCGGTAGGTAGAGCGAATATAAACTGTGGGAGGGTCAGGTAGAGGGAGGGAGTGAGGGAGGGGAAGGATAGGGAGGGAAGGGTGAACACTGATCTATGGCGTCAACACCACTAAACTAGTCTGGATTTATTGTGAGTATTATGGCGCAAATACTGTCCTCGGGCCGGGTTAACCCAGGAGTTATATCACCACCAGCTTTGTGCAGAACGAACACCTAACACCACCAACATCACCACAAGTCATCACTATCACCACCACGCAACACCAACGCCAGTACACATCACCACCACCACAAGATATTACTACCACCACACACCACCAACACAATACATCACCATCACCACCACACACCACCAACACAAGTCATCACTAACACCACGACGCATCACCAACGCCAGTACACATCACCACCACTACAAGATATCACTACCACCACACACCACACACCACACATCACCATCACCACCACACACCACCAACACTCGACATCAAAGGCGGGTAGCGTGGTAATGAGTCGACGCCTGGGTAGACCACGACACAAGAACCAACTCAGCCGAAGCCCCTTAAGAGAAAACTGACTTGCCGAGGTTACGAGGTTTGGTGTGACAGGCCGAGGATTCTTTTCATCTCCGTCAACCTTCGATGGTGGGTTTTTCTCTTTGTTTTTTTGTTCCTGAAGGCGATGATCCGTGAAGGTGTTGCTGTGGGGAGAGAGAGAGAGAGAGAGAGAGAGAGAGAGAGAGAGAGAGAGAGATATATGACTCACGTGTTGAGGATGAGGACACTGTCAAGTCCAGCGATGGCCATACGTCGGTCCAGGTCAGAGTGGGACTTCTTCAGCGCCTCCGTCGTGCGGTTCTCCAGCGTCGCCAAGTCCTCCTTGAACCTCCGCTCGGTCGCCTGGGTTGGAGGAGTAAAGAGGAAGATTGGGTGAGAGAATGAAGGAATGGAGTGGAGATAGACAGAGAAAATAAACAAATGAATGGGATATGTCTGGCTTAATCTCTCGTTCGTTTTGATTCTCTCTTTCTATATACGTCTATGCCACTCTATATATATATATGTGTGTGTGTGTGTGTGTGTGTGTGTGTGTGTGTGTGTGTGTGTGTGTGTGTGTGTGTGTGTGTCCTTCATTTCCTCCCTCCCTGGGCGCTCCATATAACTCCTAAACCGGGTTAATGACGCTCAAGTGCATCCAGCCAAAGCTTTCTTAAAAACTTCTCCCTAAGAATAAATTGGTGAAACTTTTTTTTTTAGAATAAAGTGAAACCTTCTGCAGAATAAACTATATTAGCTTCTGCCAAATATATATATATATCAAGTAATAATTATATAAATGTCAGCTAAATACACAATGTCATTATATAATTTACATCACCTGAGTTAATTAGCAATGAGCAATAAAGCACAGACTATCACATCTTTGCCACGTATCATATATGACAATCACATGTCCTCCCGTACCAATATATTGCAAACGTTAGCTCCAAGTGGCCGTCTCACACCTGATCACTGTATGTATCTCTGGAGCCTACACACGTGCCATTACGAGTAGCTCTGACAATAATCTATGTAGTGCTTTTGTGTGAATATCAAGCACCTGTGCCAATTACATATAAAAATCACATGTGGCTTCTGTAACTTAAAGCAAATACAAACAAGATACAAAAATTTCTGAAATGTTCGTGAGGAATAAATCGATGAAACCTTCCAGACTAAATTTCAAAATCGTTTTCAAAAGAATAAATTTGTGATATGTTCCCTTAGATTAAAACTGCATGGCGAGACTTGTAAATCCACCGAATATATCATCTTGTGTAAATTGTATCTCCAACGACGTAAAAAAAGGAATAAATTCTTAACTGGTGGATCGGGAAGAATATTTTAATCTCTAACTAACTGCAATTTTTTTTTCCAAGTGTCGAATCTTTTCTTGCAAATAGAGATTGAAGAGAATATACTGTACTAATCTCTTTATCACACACACACACATATTGACATTCATGACACACACACACACACGTCCAATCTTTTGCTCGCTAACAGAGGTGAACTTCATCAGGCTGGAATAAAGTTTACCTGAGCCTGTATGGCTCCCCACCTGCCCAGTTCTCGACACTCACCTCTCCCACTACGGTGTGTGTGTGTGTGTGTGTGTGTGTGTGTGTGTGTGTGTGTGTGTGTGTGTGTGTGTGTGTGTGTGTGTGTGTGTGTGTGTGTGTGTGTGTGTGTTTCCTCATCTTGATATCAGAATATATACATCTCTCCTCCACCAAATTTCTCTCTCACGGTGTCGACAAAGATATTCCATTAACCTTCAGGCTTCTCCCTCCTGCCGTGTCTGCAGGTAGTGGGCTAGGAGGATATACGCTCCCGCCCTCCTCTCTGTTTTAGGAGACTTCTGGAGGATCCGTCGTAGGAATTACAACAGCCACTTCCTCTTGATGGATTCGTCTGTTTCTGTACTTAATTATTCCCATCAAGGAGTTATATTTGGGTTCCGGGTTTAATGGGACTTGGGTCTTAACAAGGGTTGGGATTTTCCATGATGTTGTTGGTTTACGAACGTGTGTGTGTGTGTGTGTGTGTGTGTGTGTGTGTGTGTGTGTGTGTGTGTGTGTGGTGAAGACATTTTTAGTTTGCTCTTCCCAACAGATTTTCAGATTCATAGACACACTGTTAAGGTTTTTCTTTACACACACACAAACACACACACACACACACGTCCCCCAAAACAGTGTGTACCCCTGACATAAGGTACAGTAACATTGTAAGGAAGTACAAAACCACTCTGGCACTGGCAGGGGTTCCTGTGCCTCTAACTGCCTCTCTTCATGCGCCATAATACTGCTATTACATTTATGCAAGTCCACTCTTAAATATGCATATTTCATTTTCCATTAATTTTCTCTTCCAGTGTTCCCTCTCTCTCACTCGCTCATTTACGAGAATGTTGCAGTATTCTTCTCTCAACGCCCGAGTTGGCTTGTAATTAATATAATTTTCAGCACACGAGGAATAAATGTTTCCTGCTGGAGCGACACATCCCGGTTTAGATTATTCTGAAGTCTGTGCCACAAGTTTACCATAAATGATAAGAGATATTTAGGCACGAGGCCGATTTTCCTGCGTTTGGTAACCATCCACAGGACGTGGACCACGTCATCCGTGTTTGTGTTTTTGACTAGACTCTTGAGAACGTGTGCCGTGGTCAACCAGCTTATCACCACACCACCTTACACCACCACGAACCGACATAAAAACACAAAACATGAATAAAAATCTCGAATAATTCAGATTTTTGGTGAGCGCCGTGAGTGAGCTTCCTTCATATCAGTGCTGAGTGTTGAGTGACTCCCGCGCTCCACTCGGCATCAGTTCCTGGGTCTCTGGGAGGAACCGATGCTGAGTGGCTGTATATATGCGACATTTTTCTCTCCATTTCTCCCCGGGAAGATGATAGCGTCAGTCTGGATTGCCTTGAGCCGGGGAGGAGGTCGTCAAGGGCTTTCTATTATACGGAATGGTCTCCGGGTTATCAATTTCACGCCAGTTATTGAGTCCGCTGTGGGATGGTTAGCCTTGTTTCATATACAGTGAGGAGCGGCAGAAGCTGTGGTCCTACTTTGAGAGGGGCGGCAGAAGTTGTGATCCTGCTGTGAGAGGGGCGGCAGAACTTGTGGTCCTGTTGTGTGAGGGGCGGCAAATGCTGTAACCCTGTTGTGTGTGGGCTGCAGAAGCTGTAACCCTGCTGTGTGTGGGGCGGCAGAAGCTGTAACCCTGCTGTGTGTGGGCGGCAGAAGCTGTAACCCTGCTGTGTGTGGGGCGGCAGAAGCTGTAACCCTGCTGTGTGTAGGGTGACGGGGCCCATACTAACTATATATAATAGTTAAGTTGACAGGTTTTCTCTCCTAAGACAGACTAAGGTGTTTATAATGTATGTCTGAGTGGTTAGGGTACTCGACGCCACTGTTCCTAGGTCGTGGTTCACTGTCGAGTCTTTGTTATTTGTGGAGGCGAAAGGCGAAGTTGTATAGGTCGGTGAATCTTGTTTTACTGACGAGATGTTGGTTAAACTTTTATACACCGTGACGAGACTTGAAGCTGTGTGGTGAATGTAATGTGACGAGCTTGTTCCTAAAAGTTGAAGAAGGAAAAAACTATCGAGTTGGAACGTGAACCAAAAACATGGATAAAAACAGGATCGAGATGGAACTTAGGCCTATAACTTGAAAAAAAAGTATCGAGATGGATCTTAGGCCTAAAACTTGAAAAAAAAAGTATCGAGATGGATCTTAGGCCTAAAACTTGAAGAAAAAAGTCTCATGATAGAACCTGAACCTAAAACTTGAGCTAACAGTGATGTGGTGAATCTCGAACAAGTGAGCTCGAATCCTTTCAAAACCCTTGTATGCAGTATATATACAGGGTGAATCATAAGTCAGGTCCAAAGGGAGTTCCTATTTTCTGTTAACGTGATGTATATTGTTTTTCATTTGACAACATAAAGAACCGAGTTACGGGACTGGCCGACTCAGTGATCTAAGACCTTTAATAATGACCTGTGACGTAGGGACATTACTGCGTTACACTGACCCATGAGTCGAGGTGATACAAGCAAATAAAATTATAATGACCTCCAGAGAATGACCTGCCTTGCTAACGAGGCCAGTTAACACGAGATAATGACCTTTCCACCGAGTATAATGACCTCCGACTTGGCATAATGACCTTTGACCTGATATAGTGAACTAAGACCTAACCTTACCTGTAACCTGTTGTTAATGGAGCTGACCGCCTCCCTGACGGCGTGACCTGGGTCAGGTCGTGAGGCACCGCTGCTTGTGGGTAGTCCTCAGAGTCCAGTGGTTCCGGCCTGGGGGAACGAGGTGACGATCGTTAGTGACGGTGATGGGATAGTTATGGGTCATTAGTGACGGTGGTGGGGTAGTTATGGGTCGTTAGTGACGGTGGGAAGGTAGTTATGGCTCGTTAGTGTCGGGCTAGTTATGGGTAGTTAGTGGTGTTTGTGTGTGTGTGTGTGTGTGTAGTTAGAGGCACTAGTTAATGACGGCATGTGGTAGTTAGTGGTTGTTTGAGATATATGAAGTAGTTAGAAGGACTAGTTAGAGGCGAAGTAAAACCCTTCCACACACAACATGCAACCTACCATATACACCATACAACTCACAAATACAAAATCATACAACTCGCCAAATACATCACCATACAACTCGCCAAATACATCACCATACAACTCATAAATACATCACCATACAACTCGCCAAATACAACATCATACAACTCACCAAATACATCATACCCACAACTCTGCAAATACAAATCCATACAACTCGCCAAATACATCACCATACAACTCGCCAAATACAACATCATACAACTCACCAAATACATCACCATACAACTCGCCAAATACAACATCATACAACTCGCCAAATACAAAATCATACAACTCGCCACATTGTCTAGTATGATACATATTAAATACAACACCTCGCCCCGCAAGGAGAGAGAGAGAGAGAGAGAGAGAGAGACTGGCTGGTGGGACAGATCTCTTAGCTTGAGCACTGGATTCACAGAGAGACAGAGGGAGATTACGAACCGGGAATATCAAATTAGTGCTGTTGTAATGCTTAAGGATACAGTAATGTCTGTCTGTCTGTCTTTTTCTTTCTTTCTTTGTCTGTCTGTCCGTCTGTCCCCCTTCCTCTTTTGCTGTCTGTCTATCTGTCTGTCTGTCTGTCTCTCATCAATACGAAACTTCAAGATTAAATTAAAAGAAAATTATAAGTTTGCCATTTAATACACCTTACCGTTAGAGTTCAGAGGTCAAGAGGTCAACACAGGTGAGAGACAAGAGGCCAGTCGAGATACCGTGTCAAAGGTCAGGAGGAGAAGAGGTCATCTTAGAGGGTACAGTAGTTCAAGGTAGACATTATCCTAGGTAAAAACTCATTAAATCAAAGGTCAGGCAAAGAGTCAGGTCAGTCACTCAATAATGCATGGGGATGAGGTAAGAAGGTCAAGAAGGTCAGGTCATGGAAGGTCAGATATTTACAAGAGGTTGTCCTGGAGATGAGGTCAGGCCAAGGAAGGTCATCTATTCACGAGGTTGCCCTAGGAATGAGGTGAGGTTAATGAAGGTCAGGTCAAGGAAGGTGGGGTCAAGGAAGGTGGGGTCAAGAAAGGTCAGATCAAGGAAGGTCAGATACTCACACGAGGTTGTCCTGGGGCAGCTGCTGGTCCCGGCGGTGAGGGAAGGATCTGTCCAGGGAGGAGAGACGAGCGTCCACCGTGGCCACCTGCTTGGCTGAAACAACACACAGGAGTCTAAGTGAAACGTCTCATAACCTAACCTAACCTAACTTAACCTAACCTCACCCAAACCTAACCTAACCTATATTAAAGTCACAATAATTAAACCCCCAAAATAGTATGGATTAAATACCAGGTGAGCAGGACGGAGTGGAATAATTAAATGGGTCCCAGAGGCGATTAAAAACATTGGGTTATCGTTCCATGTTGGATTATTATCACGGCGGAGAGGTTTTTTTGGAAGAGGACAGGGGCGAGAAGGAAGGAGGAAAGGGTGAGAGGGGAAGGACGGACAGGCAAATTCAGGCATTTTCTTTTATTAAACATCAATACAATTAATGTAATCACACTAATGCCAAAATACAACACGACAGGTAAATCTACACGTAATAATCTACAGGTAAATCTACAGGTAATAATCAACAAGTAAATCTGCAGGTAATAATCTACAAGTAAATCTACAGGTAAATCTACAGGTAAATCTACAGGTAATAATCTACAGGTATTAAAACGTTGGAAACGGTCAGAGAATAACTGTATTTTTCATCACTACCATAACTTTTATTTTCTTAATTTCTTGTTGTGGTTTATATTACCTTTGCTCCTTATTATTATAGTTGTTGTTATCGTTGTTGTTATTATTGTTGTTGTTGTCGTTGTTGTTATTATTGTTATGGTTATTGTTGTTGTTGTGATTATTTTTGTTCCTTGTTGTTGTTGTTGTTATTTTTTGTGGTTGTTGTTGTTGTGGTTGTTCTCAGGAGTTGTTATTTGTTGTTATGGTTGATTTTTTTCTTTAGGTGTCACGGTTGTTGCTCTGTGTGTGTGTGTGTGTGTGTGTGTGTGTGTGTGGATATGTTTTTACTTATTGCCATTTCTCTTTCGTCTCACTTCCTACACTAACTTGTCCTTTACCAATTCCCGTTATTCCTTTCTTCTTCTTTGAGGTTTCTCTTCTCCCTTGTTCTACCTCACGCCAAAGTGGAAGAGGAAAAATGGCAATAAACAGAAAGACAGAGATAGACAGATTACTTAGTCGTCTTCCTTTCGTTTATTTGGCTGTCAGTCTCTCTGTCTCTCTGTCTCTCCCTTCATCTCTCTCTGTCACCTATTCTCTTCATTCTGACACCCGTTTCTTTCTTAACTCTCTCTCTCTCTCTCTCTTACCTCCCACTTCACATTCTCCTCTTCCTTCCCCCTTCCCTTTTCTCTCTCACCCCTCCCTTCTTCAATCTCCCCTCCCCCACCTCCCCCTCTCTCTTATTTTTCCCATGACTTAAACATCACGCACACTCGACAAATTATTATTATTATTATTATTCGAGGAACATTTCATTAACAATTAGAGAAGAATTTAATTATTTTTGCCTCCCTGCGTTCCACTAACACACTTACCCTTGAGAATATATTTAACACGTCCATGAACAATATATTATTAAGTATTTTGGTAATAAATTTGAAGCTAATCAACATCACTGAAATATCCTTAATTATACTCTGATAATAATAATACTCTGTTTTACATAATAATACAGTAATTATTTTATGTGTAATAGTAATTGATTAATTGGGTTGATGTGGCTATTAGGCTATTGGATTGATGGTTAGGTTAGGTTAATGAGGTCTATTACGACTTTGGCTTACAGAATTGGGTTCATTAAGCTACAGGTGAAAACTAGCTACTAGCCAAAGGTGACAATAGCTACTAGCCAGGGGTAATCAAGCTAGCCTCTATCTAACACCCATTTAGAGGAGTAACAAAATAGCCTTTCTGTGCTAGTTCTTTCATACCTATAACACATTATCACGAGAGTCAAAATTAATATCACACATACTAATTAGAGCCGCTAAACGCTATATTAAATTAGAGTAAATAGCTGACCGTCAAACTATTTTGTGAACTTGGCGGCGTTTTAAAATCACGTTAGGTATTTAGATATTAATTAATGTGTATATTTATGATCATTATTTTTCAGCGTCAACTAATTAATGTGTGTGTGTGTGTGTGTGTGTGTGTGTGTGTGTGTGTTTATCTATTTATTTAACCATTTCATTATAAATATATAGGTACAACTACTGAATCCCTAGAGCACGATAATTTAACCCCTTGAGTACAATGACTTTAACCCCTTGAGTACAATGACTTTAACCCCTTGAATACAATGACTTTAACCCCTTGAGTACAATGACTTTAACCCCTTGAGTACAATGACTTTAACCCCTTGAGTACAATGATTTAACCCCTAAAGTAAAATGATTAAACTCTTGAGGGTGGGCGGGCTCGGTATTTTTGAAAAAAAAAAAAAAAAAAAAAAAAAAAAAAAAAAAAAAAAAAAAAAAAAAAAAAAAAAAAAAAAAAAAAAAAAAAAAAAAAAAAAAAAAAAAAAAAAAAAAAAAAAAAAAAAAAAAAAAAAAAAAAAAAAAAAAAAAAAAAAAAAAAAAAAAAAAAAAAAAAAAAAAAAAAAAAAAAAAAAAAAAAAAAAAAAAAAAAAAAAAAAAAAAAAAAAAAAAAAAAAAAAAAAAAAAAAAAAAAAAAAAAAAAAAAAAAAAAAAAAAAAAAAAAAAAAAAAAAAAAAAAAAAAAAAAAAAAAAAAAAAAAAAAAAAAAAAAAAAAAAAAAAAAAAAAAAAAAAAAAAAAAAAAAAAAAAAAAAAAAAAAAAAAAAAAAAAAAAAAAAAAAAAAAAAAAAAAAAAAAAAAAAAAAAAAAAAAAAAAAAAAAAAAAAAAAAAAAAAAAAAAAAAAAAAAAAAAAAAAAAAAAAAAAAAAAAAAAAAAAAAAAAAAAAAAAAAAAAAAAAAAAAAAAAAAAAAAAAAAAAAAAAAAAAAAAAAAAAAAAAAAAAAAAAAAAAAAAAAAAAAAAAAAAAAAAAAAAAAAAAAAAAAAAAAAAAAAAAAAAAAAAAAAAAAAAAAAAAAAAAAAAAAAAAAAAAAAAAAAAAAAAAAAAAAAAAAAAAAAAAAAAAAAAAAAAAAAAAAAAAAAAAAAAAAAAAAAAAAAAAAAAAAAAAAAAAAAAAAAAAAAAAAAAAAAAAAAAAAAAAAAAAAAAAAAAAAAAAAAAAAAAAAAAAAAAAAAAAAAAAAAAAAAAAAAAAAAAAACGCCACCCCCTACTCACTTGCACTTACCCCTCTCCCTCACCCTCCCTACCCCCTCTCCCTCACCCCCTACCCCTCTCCCTCACCCCCCTATACTCACCCAGTTCGACGGTGTTCCTGGAGACCTCGCCTACAGAAGCCCTCAGCTCCCCGAACTCCGTTAGTAACTTGCTTTGAATGTGTTCCAGAGTGCCCAGCTGTAGTGAGAGAGAGAGAGAGAGAGAGTGAGTAGTGGAGTGAGTGAGAGAGAGAGAAGGAAGGAAGGAGGAGGGAGAGGGACGGAGGAGAGTGCCAGCTGTAGTGAGGAGAGAGTGAGTGAGAAGAGGAAGGGATGGAGGGAGAATGAAGGAGGGAGGTAAAGCACTGCCCAGCTGTAGTGAGTGCGTGGTGAGTGAGGGTGCGTGAGTGAGTGCGTGAGTGAGTGAGTGCGTGAGTGCGTGAGAGGTGATATGTTTCAGTGTACCCAGCTTTAATGAGAGAAACACAACTAGACAAATGAATAAATAAATACATAAACAGAGGAGTAAAAAAGATAAGAGTGAATGAAGAAAAGAAATTTACACACACACACACACACACACACACACACACACACACACACACACACACACACACACACACACACACATGTATCAATTTACCCTTGAAATTCATTACCACATAAACCACATCATTGCCAGAGGTCATAAGCTTTCTCATCTCTACCTCACGTGACCCGCAAACCAGTGAGTGAGTGAGTGAGTGAGTGAGTGAGTGAGTGAATGAATGAGTGAATGAGTGAGTAAAAGAATGAGAGAGAGAATGAATGCGTGAGTGATTGAATGAGCGAATGAGTGAGTGAGTGAGTGAGTGAGTGAGTGAGTGAGTGAGTACCTACGAACTCACACGACGAGTCAGAAAAGTTGTGATATACAGTATATAAAAGGAGGAGTCCAGGTTGCCAAGGTAACATGACTGGAGGGAGAGCTTAAGTAGGGAGGGAGGAGGAGGAGGAGGGAGAGGAGGAGGAGGAGAGGAGGAGGAGGAGGAGGAGGAAGAAAATGTGAGGGTGAAGGGGAAGAAACGGAGAGAGAGAGAGAGAGAGAGAGAGAGAGAGAGAGAGAGAGAGAGAGAGAGAGAGAGAGAGAGAGAGAGAGAGAGAGAGGGAATAAGAAGTGGCGGAAAAAGCGACAGAAAATCCCCAATGAAGACAGGGATAGGAGGAAATGAAGATAAACGTTAATTAAGAATACAAAGAAAGAATAATGGAAAACAGCTGTGAAGAAGAAGTAGAAGAACAAGAAGAAAAAGAACAATATGAACTAGAAGAAGAATAACAAGAAGAACAAGAAGAACAGGAACAAGAAGAACAGGAACAAGAAGAACAAGAACAAGAAGAATAACAAGAACAAGAACAAGAAGAGAATAAACTTTAAAATTGAATAATGCCAAACAGACAAAAAGAGAAGAGAGGAACTGAAAAATATTTAGATAATCATTTAAGAAGACGAGATGGAGAGGATAAAGAGAAGACTTAAATAATACTTAAGTAGAAGAGAGAGAGAGAGAGAGAGAGAGAGAGAGAGAGAGAGAGAGAGAGAGAGAGAGAGAGAGAGAGAGAGAACACTGTCTGTGGCCCAACAAAGACTGAATCATTAAGTGGTAGACTGGCTGGTCCGCTAACAAGGTGTTTGATGAATTAATTGGTGCATCTCTTGACTGATTGGTCGAGGCATTTATTGACTGTCTGATTAAGGCATCTAATGAGTGTTCGACTGAGTGGTTGAGGCATTAATTGACTGTCTGATTGAATAACCGAGATATCAACTAACTGATTAACTGATGGACGTGAACAATAAAATAACTGACTGTCTGAGATATTTACTGACAGACACTGACAGACAGACAGACAGACAGAGACGTTACTGAGACTGACAGACGACAGACAGACACAGATACAGAGACAAACAGACGCAGAGACAGACACATTGACTGACTGACTGACTATCTGACTGACTGTAGCACGTAGTACCTACCTGACGATGGATGTTGTCAGCGAAGGTGTCCAGTCTGATGAGCCTGAGGGCGGTGTCGAGGGGTTGAAGGCGCTCCTCTAGGGCTTCAGCCACCACCTGCTGCAGCTCGGCCAACGACACCTTCTTCCGCCCTCCGCCTCCTGTAGCAGAGAGAGACAAACGGTGAGTCAGACACAGGCGACCAACGTGTTTATGTGATGATGATGATGATGATGATGATGATGATGATGTGATGATGATGTGATGATGATGTGATGATGATGATGATGATGTGATGATGATGATGATGTGATGATGATGTGATGATGGATGATGATGTGATGATGATGATGATGATGTGATGATGATGATGATGATGATGATGAAGGATGATGATGATGATGATGATGATGTGATGATGATGATGTGATGATGATGATGATACAAAAAAATACAAGAGAAGAACATCGGCATTTAACAATAATAATGACAGTAAACAGAAGAGTACGAATAATAATAATAATAATAATAATAACAAGAGGAACGAGAGATACATAAAAGAGAGTGAGAGATAGATGAGAAGAGAGATACTACAAAAGGTGGAACATCAAAACAAGGAACCACATTAATTATTCCCGAAATCCAAGACGTCTGAACCTAACTCATAAAACAAACACTTGAAAAAAAAAACCCTAAAACTCTCTCTTAAGCGTAACAAAAAACATCCATCAGATAAGTCAACAAAGAGTGTATCGTACATTGGGTTGGGTTAAGTAAACAGTCAAAACAATCACCACTGGGAGGACGGTATTAATCTTCAAGAGTAGTGACTATGATGTTTCCTGAGCCGTGGCTGTAGGTGGAAGTCCCCGGAATACACGTATAGAAACACAACACACACACACACACACACACGGGCCCTTTACGCCACATATTTCCTCCACAATCAGAAAATCTTAAGAGTGGTGTGTGTGTGTGTGTGTGTGTGTGTGTGTGTGTGTGTGTGTGTGTAGCAACGTGGCGGTGTTTACAGTGTGCGAGACTGAGCTAGAGGTCTTTATTGCTGGACTGACCTGAGCTGTGCTTGACTCTCTCTGGCTCACACACCTTTAACTCTTCCCCGGGGGTCTAGGAATAGTTGAGCTCTGGCCTGGCAGCTTGTCACCCTAGCCTAGGAGATTGTCACCCTAGCCTAGGAGATTGTCACCCTAGCCTAGGAGATTGTCACTTTAATCTGTCAACTTATCACCCTGACCTATAAGGTTATCCCCTACGCTCAGTCACCCTAGCCACAGGTTTAACCCCACCACAACACCACCATGCACCCCTACTCTCACAACACCCCCACACTCTCACAACACACCCCACTCACAACACCCACCCACACCCCAACACACCCCACTCACAACACACCCCACCTCACAACACCCCCACCCCCACAACACCCCCCCCCCACCACAACACACCCCACTCACAACACCCCCACCCCCACAACACCCCCCACTCTCACAACAACCCCCACCCCACAACATCCCCCACCCCACAACATCCCCCACCCCCACCCCCCACTCTCACAACACCCCCACCCCCACAACATACCCCACCACAACACTCATCCACACCCCCCCACTCTCACAACAAATCGCAATAAAAAAATACTAACCGGGTTAACTTATTTGCATACGACACATCCTTCATCCAGCTCTCAATTTTCTGGTTTCCATTTACACGACGCGTTGGTATTATACTGTACGTCGGATAATTAAACCCACTACGACAGAGGTTTAACCGATCATCACCGAGGTATTTAACCAGCAAGGGAGTTAAATCATTTTCCTTAAAGGGTTAATTGTCATCGTCAAGGCGTTAAACCATCATCCTCAAAGGGTTAACCACAATCTATTACCCTTTAAACCACCATCCTACAAGTGTTAAACCAACATCCTTAAAGGGCTAACCATCACTTATTACCCTCTTAAACCATTGTCCTCAAAGGGTTTAATTTTCTACTGCAAGTCACACCTGGAGTCCATCATTATGTAACATTACGTAAAGTTTAAGAGAAAAATCATAATTGCAAAAATTAATGATGTTATTTTTGTGAGAAGCCAAATATGTTTGTTTTTTCAGCCAGGGTAAAAAGTGTCCTTCATATTATGTTTGTGTTTGTGTGTGTGTGTGTGTTTTACTGTGCATGTGTGTTGTGTATGAGTGTGTTTTTTGTGTATATGTATGTGTATTATGTGTATTTCTGTACGAGTGTATTATGTATATGTTGTATATGGGTTTGTGTATGTTTAATTAGGTTAAGGTCAAGAGAGGAGGTTAGGTTAGGTTAGGTTAGGTTCATGTCAAGATAGGAGATGGGGTTGGGTTAGGTTGGGTTAGGTTAGGTTGGGTTAGGTTGGGTTAGGTTAGGTTGGGTTAGGTTGGGTTAGGTTAGGTTGGGTTGGGTTAGGTTAGGTTGGGTTGGGTTAGGTTGGGTTGGGTTAGGTTGGGTTGGGTTAGGAGGTTAAAGTGTTGGTCACCGCCTCGAGATGAGACCAGCGTATATAACTGTAGTCAGCTGAGGCAACATGATGTATACGACTCATGATGGTCACTTGCAATACTAACAAAGAAACACCTGCAATACTCTTGTAATACTAACACAGGAGAACACAAAAGAACACTTGCAATACTAACAAAATGAACACTTGCAATGCTAATAATGTTAAGCACTTGCAATATCAATGAACAATATTCTGACAAAAACTGAATAAGAATCAAATAAAACTGGGAGGAAAAAAAGTTGTTCTACAGATTGAGGAAGAAAGCTACTAGGAGGGAGGGGGCGGTAGGAGGGGGAGGCGACGGGTGAGTGAATAAGTCCACTTGTTGAGTCGAGTGTGAGCTGTTTTCAGACCTTGAGTCCAGATACCTCGAGAGAACTGACTGTTTTATGTCTTCCTTACACGTCCTGGATATCAGATGATGAGAGGGAGGAGGGGGTGTGGGGGGAGGAGGGCTAGAAGATATTGGGGGTAGGAGGATGGGGTGAGGTCAGGGCAGGAACTCCAAAGGGTGAGAGGGGGTGGATGTGGGGTGGGGTGGGGTGGGGGTAGAGACTCCAGATGATGAGAGGGTTGGAGGTGGGGTTGAGTGGGGTGGGGGGGGGTAGAGATTCCAGATGGTGAGGGGTGGTGGCGAGGAGTTTACACGTGATATTCAAACTAGACTTTTGTGAGCACTAAATAAACCTTTGCTGAGCTTGACACAGAAGCTGAACCAAGTCAAGGTATTATATGCATTATGATGACCGATATCACAACACAACTGGTAATCCTCTCTGTGGTTAGGGACATTACCGGAGAGGAGGAGGAGGAAGAGGAGGAGGAGGAGGAGGAAGAAGAGGAAAAGGAGAAGGAGGAGGAGGAGGAGGAGGGCATATATACATGGCCATATCCGAAAACAGTAACGACATGAATAATAAAATATGGTAATCAAAACACGATCACGTTAAAGAAGAAGAAGAAGAAGAAGAAGAAGAACAAGAAGAAGAAGAAGAGAAGAGAAGAGAAGAGAAGAGAAGAGAAGAGAAGAGAAGAAGAAGAAGAAGAAGAAGAAGGCTAGAGTGCAGCAATAGGAGCAATAGGAACAATAGGAGCCATTTTCCCAACCAAACTTCATCTGTTATAATCAAGTTTTGCATAAATAGATATACTGTACACAAAGACGTGACGCTATTTCCCTGTGTGGAGTTTACAGCGCTCCTCCTGTCACTTCCAGTTCCTCGCCTTTGACAAACGACGAGGGACATTTATGTATTAGCATCCACCACCAGCCAGCCAGCCAGCCAGCCAGCCAGCCAGCCAGCCAGCCAGCCAGCCATGCCGACACAGAATTAAGGGTAGGGGGTGGGGGTAGTCTACTGTTGTTCGGGGAGAGAGAGAAGGGGAGGAAAGGGAAGAAGGGGGGTCTGCTGTTGTTAAGGGAGAAGGGAGAGAGAGAAGGGGTAGGAGGAGGAGGAGGAAAAGTGTGTTAATAAAGGGATGTATGCTGTCAAGGAATGTCTGCTGGATGAGGTATGCTAGGGAGGGATGTCTGCTGGGGAGGGAGATGTGTTGGATGAGGTCTGCAGATGTAAAGGAGGTGTACTGAGGTCTTTCAATCCATTGCCTTTAGCTCCTGTGTTTATGCAGGAGCTGCTTTAGCTCTCTCTCTCTCTCTCTCTCTCCTCGTCATTATCAAGACCAACATAACAACAGCAACGGCAAGCGGTGAATTCAACTTTCCGATACCGCTACAACCACACACTCTAAGGACGCACTATACTACTACAACACACTGTAAGGCATATTCTAGCATAACCACACACTCACGCACTCTACCATAACCACACACTCATCCACAGACATACACTCCCACTACAAAACATCCCCATATTATTTACGACACACACGCACACACACACACACACACACACACACACACACTCACACACACACACACACACACACGCACACTTGCTGTCCACAGCCTCCCCAAAAATATTAATAACGGGAGAATCTATAACACCTTCCCTCCACATTTAATCTTATTTAGTAAAGGAGGAAGAGATTGAGGTGGAGGAGGGAGTGTTGCCAGCTCGACTGTATAATATGTAAGCAGCTCAACTCTCCTCCAAACCTCCAAGATTATAAGCTATTTGGAGGTTTTCAGCAACCGAGTTCACCCGAGGGCTATATTCTGGAGATATATATTTTTTTTTTGTAGGGAAAGGAGGAATGAAGGAAGATTAGAGGTGGGGGAAGGAAGTTATAGTTCGGAAATTGAAGAAGTTTAGGAGGAGGTAAGAGAGGGCGGGCTGACCGCCTAGCTAAGCTAGTAGCGTGTTAGGGGTGTGTCATGGGTTAGTTATTGTCTGCCGGTACAGGCACTACACAGCCTACCCTGTCCCATTTATGGGTGATTTAAGGGCCTTATTTCATATTCCGCCGACCCTACTGGCGGATGCTGGTCTAGGGTTATGGTTGAATGACCGGGGGAGGGGGGGGACCCACTAAATAACCTGACCTGACCTGGCTAGTCACGTCACCACCCTTCTCTTAAGCTCCTCTACGTGTGTGTTGGTGTGGGGATTAGTGGATGTCATCATTATGACCTGACCTCATGTTT